AATCTCTTGCAACCAGTACTGTTGATACCAAATTAAGAGTTAATGTTCTAATCTCAGTTTGATCTAATTCAATGCCTTTCAGAAAACCAAATACCTCCTGTCATTCTCTGCCCTTGAGCAGAGAGGAGAGGAGAATATGTGTCGATGTCTTTTGCCCCTATTGCTCTCCTCTCTTAGAACATCCGTAGAACTTCACATACATTTCAAGTTTGTTCAGTTGACATTGACAGTTTATCACCATGATCTTTATTATTGAAGCAAGAATTCCTCATTTTCATTCTTTAATCTTCTTCAATAACCTTAACTTTTGCAGTATTTATAAGCCTAGGCACCATAGCTGTCACAAATACCAAGATGCAACTGGTGGATATCCTGTGCAGGATATTATTGTATATTCATCTAAATTGTTTATTATCAGAGATCTTTAGCAAGTGTGAGTTATTCTGTGTCCTTTAGTGCCTTCTCATCCAACACTGCAAACACAAACACATAACAGCCCTCAAACTAGCACACAAACACAACCCTAAGCAAATAAACGCAATCAGACTAACATCCAGATTAGCATGCACACATGTAGAAATGCACAAATACTGACACAAACGGGAGCTACCATTTATGTGAGTTTAGCTAGTGCTATTCATAGAAATGTTGTTAGAGTATATTAGTCTGTGATGCCAACGCAACTGAAGTAGAAACATAAATAGGACCTTGAGAACAAGCTCTAGCCTTAAATTTCCCAATGTTCTGGCATAAAGGTTGTGGAATTTTGGATTGTCTCCTACAAATATTGCAATTGATACTAAATTATGAGTTTTTTTTTCAATCTGAAATTGATCTCATCAGATGTCTTTTGACATCTAAACATGCCTCTGTTTTTCTCTCTGGTGGTGTGGGAATGTCTGTGCATGTCTCTACACCCTTTTCCATTTTGTCTCTCTGAATATCTTTAAAATTCCACATACATTAGTTAGAAATTGAAGTTTGTTCATGTTAGCTATTTTCACACCAATGCTGTGAATCATTGGAGAAAGAATTCCTTACTCTTGTACTTCAATCTCCTTGCAATAACCCAATTTTTACAGTATTTCTGAGCCTTGGCACCTTTGCCCTCACAAATGTCAAGAAGCAGCAGATTGATATGTTTTGGAGGATATTTATGTATAAACATCTCAGTTGTGTAAGGTGAAGATCTTTAATAAGTGAATGTTCCTTTGTGTCCTGCTTCATACTCACAGCTAGCACTAGAAACACAAATACAGAATGACACTCATACAAACAAGCACAAACACAAGCAAATAATCAATCAGGCAACATGACCACATGAACATGCATACAAGAAATGCACAAACACTGGCAGAGAGAGGAGGCTATCATTTTGGCGTGGCACTGGTTTAGCTAGTGCTACCAACAAAAACTTTGGTGGAATATGAATATTTGTCTGCAATGCTAACACAACTAAAGCAGAAGAAAAGCAAAAATAACACTTTAACAGCAAGCTCTAACCTTAAATCTCTCATTGTTTTGACTTATGTGGACTCGCTGCAATTTTTGGAGTTAATCAAGAATTAATACACAAAACACAAATATTGCACAAATACTGGCATTTGAAATAAATATTTTATGGCTCAATAAGCAGTTGCACAAACCATTCTCTGAAGTGAATCATCAAATGCAAATATAAAGATTGTTTCCCTTCACTATCCCGATGTCACGGTTACAATATGTACCATTGGCAGGATGTACTACAGCAGCACTCCAAGTCTTCTTTGAGATGACCTGTGTCATCTACAACTACGATTGCATCACTTCCACATTTTCCTCCGTGTCACACACGATGCTGACTCGGACATATATCAGCAGTCCTTTGTCATTACTGGAAAATCTTAGAAATCCATACCTATCAGTATTGTGGGTGTACCTTCACTACACGGAGTGCAGTTTTTCATGAAGGCCCATCATCACATTCTCAAGGGCAACTAGGGCTTGGTAATAAATGCTGGTGTTGCCAGTGGTTCCCAAACCCAGGATTTTTAAAATAGTTCCAACATAGGCAATGATCTAATTGGAAATTGTAATATAAATAGCTAAATTCCTCAGAGGTTCATGGTTAATAGTCCAATAGTGATACTTTTTGAAATGTCAAAATACTGGATGTAAAGCCACACAATATCATGAAAAATGTGAAGCCGTATTTGTTTAATAATAGTTTGTTAATAAAGAAGTGAAGTGGCTACTGTGCTTCCCTAATTAACAATAGTCATTGCAATCCAAATGTAATTAGTAGTATGAATGGCTTTTAAGATCTTTCAGTTGAAATAATGGGATAGAGTGAATTGTGATGTTTTCTAGACTCGACCTTAAATGTTCAATGACAGGATTTGGTGTGACGAATCCTGTTAGATTTATTTTCCTTTATGAGATGAAAGAGAACATGGATATCAATTGCCGCACAAAGTACTGTGCAATAGATTGTTTAGTACACAAGTCTGGTTTATACACATAAATGCCTAATGGAGAAACACCTGGATGGAGCCATTAATTCAACATTTAATAAAATTGCCCCTATTTTTTTTATATTCACTTGTGGGACATGGGCATCACTTGTTGGGCAAACATTTATTGTTTACCTCTAGTTGTCCTTTGGAAGCTGCTGTGAACTGCCTTCTTGAACTGCTACAGTCCATGTGTTGTAAGAGGAATCATGATGCCCTCAGGGAAGAAATCCCAGGATTTGACCCAACAACATTAAAGGAACGATGATATATTTCCAAGTCAGAATAGTGATTGACTTGGAGGGAAACATGCAGTTAGTGGTGTTCCTATGTATCTGCTGCCCTTGTCCTTCTAGATAGAAGTGATCATGGGTTTAAAAGGTGCTGTCTAAGGATCTTTGGTGAATTTCTGCATTGCATCTTGTAAATGGCCCATACTGCTGCTACTGAGTTTCATTGGTGGAGGGAGTGAGTGCTTGTATATGTGGTACCAATCAAACGGGCTGTTTTGTGCTGGATAGTGTCAAACTTCTTGAGTGTTGCTGGAATTGCACTCATCCAGGCAATCTTAAAATCTATTCAATACATATGAAGTGCATTTTCACTTTGAATCATTGAACATTAAATATCTGAACTTAGGTATTGAGAAAGCTCATATTTCAGGCAATAAAGCAATGAGCAATTTATTTATAACTTGTCAGTCCAAATGTTTCCCACAACTACTCTGCAGGTTTCAGTTGCAGGTAATCTGTTATTTCCAATTTACATAAATAATCTCCCTCCTGAATGTCAAGTAGACAGTCACAGTATTACACATCTTCAAACAAGAGACATTTGTGAATATTCCACTTCTAACAGAACAGATAAACTATAACATTATCTCATGTGCAATCAATGATATTTGGGGTTTTAGACCAGTCTACTTTGTATTGTTATTTTTGGAGATATATGCAATATATACATTTAACAAACAAATTAATATACTGTTTTTTCTCTTTTTCCTTTCACCATTACTTATCAGTTTCTAAAAGAGGTTCACAACTAGTTTGAATTTTAAAAGTGCACATGGTAACTTGGATGGTTTACTCAAATTTAAAGCATTTATTATAAACTTCAAAAATGTTCAGAGATTTTTCAGAACATTTTAAATTAGTTATGTATTATCCCAGTAATATAATTGTTACTAGATCTCCTGTGGTCGCCAGGACTCATGATGCAGTCTCTGAAATTATTTTTATCTGCAAGATAGCTGCAGTATAGAGTCTGCAAACAGAAAAAAATGCTTAAGTAATACATCTAGATCAGCACAAGGTAAAAGTGTTAATTCCTTTATTTGTAAGTGAAAGTTACAAGATTATTTACTTACTACTGTAAATAAAAATTGCTTCAGTTACAAGTAGCAGGTTGCTATAGGTAGCTCACTCATCCTTCCTGAGATTGCGGTTCCCTGGATTCTGGAAAGTGCACTCCAGTGCCTACTCATGGGCATAATTCTAGTTTTTCTTCCCAGATAGCTAGCTTTGCTAAACTAGTAGTACCTTGGGGTTTTTCTGAGCTTTAATCTTGCCCAGCTAAACTAAGTCAAAATTGCTATTGGACTTCATTCACCTGCAGTCTAAGTTACACTGAACAATTAATGACTCACATGCTTCTTGTTAGTTCCCATGGTTTCCAGGGCCTTGTCCTCAGCCCTAACCCCAACACTAACAGGTGGCATGGTGGCTCAATCATTAGCACTGCTGCCTCGCAGCACCAGGGACCCAGGTTCAATTCCTTCCTAGGGCGACTGTCTGCGTGGGTTTCCACTGGGTGCTTTGGTTTCCTCCCACAGTCCAAAGATGTGCAGGTTAGGTGGATTGGCCATGGTAAATTGCCTATAGTGTTCAGGGGAACCGAGGTTAGGTGGATTAGTGAGGGAAAATGCAGGGTTATAGGGTAGACAGTTGGGTTTGGGTGGAATGCTCTTTGGAGGGTCGATTATGGGCCAAATGGCCTGCTTCCACACTGTAAGGATTTTATAATTCTGAGACCTAATTGCATGATGCAGATAAATGGTTCCTGGGACCTCTTACTGAACTTCAGTGGCATAGAGTCAATGACTATCAGCCAACTTCACAGCAAACAGCAGTAATTTTCCTACAAGGAGATTGTTTCCGACTCACTCTAACTCTAACAATGACTCACTGCTGTTCACTGACTGTACTGTTAGGTTTAAAAATGATATCTCCAAACCAGACTAGTAAGGGTTAATCGTTAAGGGTTAATTGGACATGGCAATAGCAATTGAAGAAAAATATGTGATAAACAGACTTGTTGTAAAAAAACAGGCTATTTTGACTGGAAGAAAATTGCAATGACTTTGCCCTGGATTAGGAACAGGTTGTTGTATAAGGACACAGAGATACCTGGACTTGTTTTTGCACAAAGGAATGCTTGTGAAAAGTATTCAGAGATGGCAATACAGCACATAGTATCAGATTCAGAGTAGTATTCATATTAGGGACTTACCCCAGCTCCTGGGAATCTTTCACCTTCAGGCTGGGGTTCACGGACTGGTGCCATGGAAACTGAGATCCAGCCCCAAGTGCCAGGAGTTCCTGATAGGCAGTGAGACTCACTTATTGAATATGTCTAAAGTAGTTTAAGCTAATAGATTGACTCATTATTTTGCATGTCTATAATGGATTTAGCTGATAAATTTGCTTTATATCAAATAGCACGTGTCTTCTTGTATTCATTTTGATCAGACCTTAAAGAACCCATTACCAGTCTGGATCCTTCTTACTGGATTAGTGCTGTGCATGTCAACAATGCTACTTCCAAGTTGGGTTGCCTTTATGGGCTAGATCTGCCTCAGCAGCACCCATTTCTAACTCAGAGCCAGTTCTTCAAATGTTTCTCCCTCAGCAATTAATGCTATAATCTCAGCTGACAGTAACACTGAACATGTCTGCTCTCAGACTGAAACCTGGCTTGGTAGATCATGTTTTAGTTTTGCAGCTAGGTACCTTTATGGATAGACTCTGGACGTATTCACACAAGACTGTCAATGTTCTTTTAACAAAAGTTTATTGGATAAAAAGAAAGAAAAGTAGACAAAGCTATGTATGTGACAATTTAGGAAGGACTTAACACAAACTGCAAAAACAGTCAACCCTTTTCTCAGCAATACCTTTTACAGATAATCAATCCCAGTAAAGTACCACTCCTATCTTAACTTTAAGATTTCTTATTCAACTGACTTTTTCCAGTTTTCTATAGACATCATTCTAGTTTTGCTTTCAGTTCCAGTAATCATGAGACTTTTGTGAACTCTCACAATCTTCAGATTCTAGAAACTAACTCTCACAGTCTGCATAGTTTACGCATTAAAAATCTGCCCTTCTGATCGGATGAACTAAATTGAAGCCTGATTCTTCTAAACTGAAAACAAACCACGAGTGGCACCTAGCCATTTGTGTTTCTGTATATCATTAACTCAGTGTGTAAAACATTGAATCAATTAACAATACAGATATCTTGTTAGGCAGAAATAGTAGGAACTGCAGATGCTGGAGAATCTGAGATAACCAGGTGTAGAGCTGGATGAACACAGCAGGCCAAGCAGCATCAGAGGAGCAGAAGGCTGATGTTTTGGGCCTAGACCTTTCTTCAGAAATGGGGGAGGGGAAGAGGGTTCTGAAATAAATAGGGAGAGAGGGGGAGGCGGATAGAAGATGGATAGAGGAGAAGATAGGTGGAGAGGAAACAGACAGGTCAAAGAGGCGGGGATGGAGCCAGTAAAGGTAAGTGTAGGTGGGGAGTTAGGGAGGAGATAGGTCAGTCCAGGGAGGACGGACAGGTCAAGGGGGCGGGGTGAGGTTAGTAGGTAGGAGATGGGGTGGGGCTTGAGGTGGGAGGAGGGTATAGGTGGGAGGAAGGACAGGTTAGGGAGGCGGGGACAAGCTGGGCTGGTTTTGGGATGCGGTAGGGGGAGGGAATATTTTGAAGCTTGTGAAGTCCACATTGATACCATTGGGCTGCAGGGTTCCCAAACGGAATATGAGTTGCTGTTCCTGCAGCCTTCGGGTGGCATCGTTGTGGCACTGCAGGAGGCCCAGGATGGACATATCATCTGAGGAATGGGAGGGGGAGTTGAAATGGTTTATGACTGCGAGTTGCAGTTGTTTAGTGCGAACCGAGCGTAGGTGTTCTGCAAAGCGGTCCCCAAGCCTCCGCTTGGTTTCCCCGATGTAGAGGAGGCCACAATGGGAACAGCGGATGCTGTATACCACATTAACAGATGTGCAGGTGAACATCTGCTTGATGTGGAAAGTCTTCTTGGGGTCAGGGATGGGGGTGAGGGGGGGAGGTGTAGGGGCAGGTGTAGCGCTTCCTGTGGTTGCAGGGAAAAGTGCCAGGTGTGGTGGGGCTGGAGGGGAGTGTGGCGTGGACAAGGGAATCCCGGAGAGAGTGGTCCCTCCGGAAAGCAGATAAGGGTGAGGAGGGAAAAATGTCTTTGGTGGTGGGGTCGGAGCAACTGGAAAAAGTCAGTTGAGTAAGAAATCTTAAAGTTAAGATAGGAGTGGTACTTTACTGGGATTGATTATCTGTAAAAGGTATTGCTGGGAAAAGGGTTGACTGTGTTTTTGCAGTTTGTGTTAAGTCCTTCCTAAATTGTCACATACATAGCTTTGTTTACTTTTCTTTCCTTTTATCCAATAAACTTTTGTTAAAAGGCCTCCAGCCCCACCACACCCGGCACTTTTCCCTGCAACCGCAGGAAGTGCTACACCTGCCCCTACACCTCCCCCCTCACCCCCATTCCAGGCCCCAAGAAGACTTTCCACATCAAGCAGATGTTCACCTGCAAATCTGCTAATGTGGTATACTGCATCTGCTGTTCCCATTGTGGCCTCCTCTACTTCGGGGAAACCAAGCGGAGGCTTGGGGACCGCTTTGCAGAACACCTACGCTCGGTTCGCAATAAACAACTGCACCTCCCAGTTGCAAACCTTTTCAACTCCCCCTCCCATTCCTCAGACGACATGTCCAT